CATGATTAGAGACTCTAGAACAGAAACAGATAAAAAATAGATGAGCTCAGGACCATGATGGAAACCATGAATGCCCAGCATAGGAAAGAAATGGAATCCAAGAAACAGATATCCAGGAGATTAAAAATTCTATTGAAAGCATTCACAGCCAAATGAGTGAATGTGAAAACAGAATATCAGATATATAGAAGACAGGATTGCAGTCAGTGACCACGAAAATAGAGATCTCTTAAAAATAGTAAGAGACCATGAGAAATCAATCCAGCAGGTCATAGATGACACAAAGAAGAATAATATAAGACTGATAGTAATGCATGAAAAATCAGGAGAAAGTACAAATGACATAAAAAAACTGTTCACAGAATTAATGACAGAAAACTTCCTAAACAAAGAGAAAGAATTTGACATACAGATAAGTGAGGCTATAGGACTCCAACTAGCCATGATCAAAAAAAATCTACACCTAGATGTATAATAGTCAAGATCCCTGAAATCCACAGAAGGATAAAATACTACAAGCATTTAGAGAGAAGAAACAAATCACATACAAAGGGAAGCCCACCAGAATCACAGCAGACTTTTCAACACAAACCCTCAAGTCAAGGAGAGCCTGGAGTGACGTATCTTAAGCCCTAAAAGAAAACAACATCCAACCTAGATTGATGTATCCTGCAAGATTATCTTTCAAAATTGATGGGGAAATAAGACGCTTCCACAACAAAGAACACCTGAGAATTTTCATGAATACCAAACCAGCACTCCAAACAATTCTAAACAAAATGCTAGAAACATAAAATGAAGATCACAACTCCATAAGGCCCAACAAAGCAAAGCCACCTGGCAAGGCAAGAAATTAAAGGGAGAGGGGGGAAAATAAAAAATAAAACAGCCAACAACAGGAAAATAACATGACAAGGATAAGTCAATACATATCAGTTATCACCATCAATGTTAATGGCCTCAACTCATCAACTAAAAGAAATAAACTGCCACAATGAATCAAGAAGCAAAATCCAACAACTTGCTGTATACAAGAAACAGACTTAATTCACAAAGAAATTCATAGACTGAAAGTAAAAGGACAGAAAACAGTTCTCCATGCAACAGGAGCCCAGAAAAAAGTGGGGGTAGCTATCTTATTTGCAGACAAAATAGATTTCAAACTAAAAGTAATTAAGAGAGATAAAGAAGGCCATTACATCCTTGTAAAGGGAACATTCCAAGAGGAAGATATGACAATCATAAATATATATGCATCAAATACTAATGCCCCCAACTATATAAAACAAATATTAATGGACATGAAAAACCAAATAAGCACTAATACAATTGTAGTGGGGGACCTCAATATCCCACTGTCACAAATAGACAGATGATCTAGACAAAAAATCAATAATGAATTAATAGAACTTAACCAAGCTTTTGAAGAAATGGACTTAATAGATGTCTGCAGAAGTGTTCCACCCCACAAAATCAGAATATACATTCTTTTCAGCTGCACATGGGTCATTCTCCAAAATAGACCACATACTAGCTCATAGAACATGTTTAAAACTGCAAAGGAATTGAAGTTATCTCCTATATATTATCAGATCATAGTGCAATTAAAGTGGAGATCAATAGCATAAGAAACTGCAAGAACTGCAGAAACACATGGAAATTGAATAACACCCTCCTGAACAACCAATGGGTCACAGAGGAAATTAAAGAAGAAATTAGACCAGTTTCTACAATTAAATGATAATGCCAATACAACACACAGCAATCTATGAGACACAATGAAAGGAGTTCTACAAGGGGAATTCATAGCAGTAAATTCCCATATTAGGAAAACAGGGAGAGCTCAAATAAACAATCAAATGCTGAACATTAAGCTCCCAGAAAAAGAAGAGTGCAACAAACCCAAAGCCATACACGCGAGGAAATTATAAAAATTAGAGCTTAAATCAATGCCATGAAGACTAAAAGAACAATACAAAAAAATCAATGAATCAAAGAGTTGGGTTTTTTGAAAGAATAAATACAATTGATAAACCATTAGCCAACCTTATCAAAAAAGGAAAGAAAAGGCCCAAGTTCATGCAATTAGGAATGAAAAAGGTGGTCACAACAGATCCAGCAGAAATCCAGAGAATCATCAATACCTACTTCAAGAACCTGTACTCTAATAAAATGGAAAACAGAATAAATGGACAGGTTCCTAGATATGTATGAATTAACAAAGTTGAACGAAGAAAATGTAAAAAGTCTAAACACCCCATTTACAATCAGTGAAATTGAAAATGTAATTAAAACTTTACCAACAAAGAAAAATCCAAGTCCTGATGGCTTCACTGCTTAATTCTACAAGATATTTAGAGAAGGTCTATTGCCACTACTCTTTAAATTCTTTAGTGAAATTGAAAGGGAAGCAATACTTTCAAATTCATTCCTTGAAGCAACTGTTAGTTTGATTTCAAAACCAGGGAAAGACCTTACCAAAAAAGAGAACTACAAGCCAATCTCCCTAGAGAACATAGATGCAAAAATCCTCAATAAGATACTAGCAAACAGAATACAGAAGGTCATCAAGAAGGTCATACACCCTGACCAGGTCAGATTTATCCCAGGGATCCAAGGATGGTTCAACATATATAAATCAATAAATGTAATACACTATATTATCAGAGTCAAGGACAAAAACGATATGATCATCTCGATAGGTGCAGAAAAAGCATTTGACAAAATCCAATACCCATATGATAAAAACCCGACAGAAAATTGGAATAGATGGTCTTTATCTCAAGCTAATAAAGGCTATCTATGAAAAACCAACAGCCAACATCATACTAAATGGTCACAAAAACTGAAAACCTTCACACTAAAATCAGGAACAAGACAAGGATGCACACTCTCACCACTCCTGTTCAATATAGTTCTAGAAACATTAGTCACAGCTATTAGACAAGAGAAAGAAATAAAAGGAATAAAAATAGGAAAAAAAGAAGTTAAACTGTCATTATTTGCTGACAATATGATACTGTACATAGAAGACCCCCAAAATTCTGCCAAAATACTTCTAGACTTGATTGACAGATTTGGTAGAGTAGCTGGATACAAGGTCAACATTCAAAAATCAATAGCCTTCTTGTACACAAATAACAGACTCACTGAGAGAGAAATTAAGGAAACAATTCCTTTCACAATAGTATCCACAAAAAATGAAATAGCTAGGAATCAATCTAACAAAGGAGACAAAAAGACCTCTACAGTAAAAACTACTGCACTTTGAAAAAAAGAGACTGAAGGAGATATAAGAAAATGGAAAGACATTCCTTGTTACTAGGTAGGAAGAACAAATATAGTGAAAATTGCCATACTTCCAAAGCTGCTATACAGATTCAATGCAATCCCAATTGAAATCCCAACAGTATATCTCACAGACCTAGAGAAAACAAAGCAAAAATTCATTTGGAACCAGAAGAGACCTAGAATAGCAAAAGCAATTCTAGGCAATAGAGACATAATGGGGGGTATCACAATCCCCAACTTGAAACTATACTACAAAGCCACTGTGATAAAAACAGCATGGTACTGGCAAAGAAACAGACCTGAGGATCAGTGGAATAGATTAGAAGATACAGAAACAACTCTAGACATATTCAGCTACCTCATCTTTGACAAAGGAGCCAACCATCCTCACTGGAGGAAAGATAGCCTCTTTAATAAATGGTGTTGGAAAAACTGGATTTCAGTCTGCCTAAGATTAAAACTAGACCCCTATCTTTCGCCATGCACTCAACTAAAATCGAAGTGAATTAAAGATCTAAATATTAAAACAGAAACACTAAAGTACTGGAAGGTAAGTTAGGAAGAACTCTCGAAGACATTGGCATAGGAAAAGACTTTATGAACAAATCCTCAGTAGCATGGGAACTTGCACAAAGGCTCAACAACTGGGATCTCAATTTATTAAAAAGCTTCTGAACTGCAAGAGAAACCACCAACAGAGCTAGGAGACAACCTACAATGTGGGAAAAATTTTTTACCAGCTGTTCTTCAAACAAAGGTCTACTATCTAGAATATATGAAGAACTCAAAAAAATCAGACCCCTCAAAATATAAAAACCCAATTCAAAAATAGGCATCTGAAAGGAACAGACATTTCTCAGACAAAGAAGTAAAAGCAGTAAATAAATATATGAAAAAATGTTCAACATCACTGGTCATTCGAGGGCTGCAAATGAAAACAACAGTGAGATTCCACCTCACCCCAGAAAGAATGGCTGCTATCAAGAAGTCAACCAATAATAAATGCTGGCAGGGCTGTGAGGAGAAAGGAACCCTTCTTCATTGTTGGTGGGAGTGCAGACTTTCCTCCTTTAAGATATGGGTATTAGGTATTGTGTCTCAGTGACAAAGAAAGGAACTAAGACAATGACTTCCTTTTAAATATTGCCTTACTTTCTTATAGAGATAGAAGGAATGAAGATCATTAAGAAGATAAACATGTGCAGAGAATTTTGCCCAAGTTTATTTTATTATGAATTTGTGTGTGGAAGAATGGTCAGGATAGAAGCATTCTCTTTATGGGAGACTGTGAAGACAGCCACTTGAGTGGGAAAATATCATTTGTCTCAGTTTGTGTAGCTCAAAAATTTTTTTGCACAAATTCCAAAATAAGAAATGTCTTAAAGTATGGAAATTAAGTGCATAAAGATTCAATTACTTCTGCTTTTTTTTTTTTTGCTCAGAAACAGTTACAGATCACCTTTAAATGTACACAAGTGATAGTCAGATAGCTTTGAACAATTAGTTAAAGGAATAGTAAGTGTTCTATTTATTAGAATTGAAAAAGGTGGCTTCTTCCCTCTAGCATTTATTAATTTCTTAGAAGCTGTGATAAGGGCATGTAATTTTTCATGAAACAGGGTGCTCAGACATTTGAATTTGTGAAATTTAATAACTGAACTCAATATTTCGGTGACGTTCTGATACTTATTTTCCTTTTCCATTCTTAGACAGTGATTGGCATAAAAATGGGCTCCCTCAACACAGCAAACGTTGAATTTTGCCTTGATGTGTTCAAGCAGCTGAATAATAATAATCCAGGAGATAACATCTTCTTTTCTCCACTGAGTCTGCTTTATGCTCTAAATATGGTCCTCCTTGGTGCCAGAGGAAACAGTTCAAGGCAAATTGAAAAGGTAAGGGATGCAAGAAAGATTACTGTGGAGCCCCAAAGTCTTCATATGTCTCCTCTGATCTGCCAAATTACTGCCATCTTCATAAAAAAAAACTATCATCATGTAAAAGAAAAAATATATTTGGCAAATGACTCTTTTTAGAAAGGGAAAATAGTTTAAAGCAAATAAAAAATTTTATCACAAAAAAATACAATACCTGCAGTACACAGTTTCTTCCTACCAGGGATATCACAAATAAACCTCTGCAGAAAATGTGCAGCCTTCTTCCTTTCAGTGATTTAAGAGTGCTGGAGATCACATGTATGGTACTGTTCTTGTCCTTTAGAGGTTTAGACTTAATAATGAAACTTAATGATGTTGTAGACATTACCCAGTTGTAAAAAAAATCATTATAATATTTCTTCATAACAACTGGGTGTAGCAGGGAGGGACTGTGATTCCCATTTTCAGGTGGTATAGACTAATGTTGATCTTAATAATTCTTAAGTGACATAAATGCTGCTGTAAAATATCTAGAAGAGTATCACTTACTAATTCTTAAGATATTTGGTTTATTGTTTGTGCTGAAAAAACATATACGGTTTATCTGGCCCCAAAATGGGCCTGGTTGTAGTTAATAGCTTGGAAAGAGTAGGAGAGGAGCCAAAGATTCTAGTGACTAAGGAGCTCAGTGCCCAGAGCCTCACAGACTGTCTGGGCAAAGTACTTCATCTTTTATAACTCAATTTTCCTAAAATAGAATGAAGATAACAGTATTCATAATTTATTGGGAAGGTTATATAAGATATAAAAAATTAATTTATGATTTGCAATTTAACATTATTAGCTATCCCTATTGGTTTTTTTGAACTGAAATGTAAAAGTAACTATTTATAATTTTCAACTTTATGGAATTTACATTATTTTTGTTGTCAACTGATCCCTTTTTCCTTTTCTAGGCACTTCACTATCAACATACTGGAGAATTTTTTAAACCAGAATTTAAGGATTCATCTAAGGTATGATAATATCATGGCTGAGCTGTCAAATGCTTTTTTAACATAAGAGCATCTGTAAGTGATTGTCCAGGGATAGAATAGAGTTCCTTCTTTGTCTCATAAGGAAGCTACTGTAGCAGACACCTTTGTTCAGTATTAGCAGCCTATAGTGGCACAAGCTTCTTGCCCTTCCATAATTCGGCTGTGTTACATTGGAAGTAGCAGAGCTTGGCTAAGTTCACCCCCAGTCAAGGTCAACTGACTCCAACTAAATTCTTCCCCTGTGAATTAACTGTTTGTTCTCTTCAGCAAAGATATGCTTGTGTCCTCATTCTACAGTCCTGCCTGCTTGATACTTGCTATCAGCAAGTGTCCCAAGGCCTGCCCAGTTTCCCTACTTCCCACACTTGTATTGAATAAACACTGGATGTCCTGGGAGTTCTTTGTCTTTGCTGCCCAGAGCAGCTTATATCAGCCCAAGACTCAGTCTCTCTCAAGTCTCTATCTCTGTTTCTTTTAATTCCCACTTTTCTATCTTGCAGATGTTGTACTGGCTTGTGGGAGGCCAGGACCACTGCAGGGGTCTCTGGCAATTCCCACTACTCTTTCCCTATAAGCTACCTTTGTCTCCTTTAATCATCTTTATAACCAATAAAGCTTATAGTTTAACACAATGATAATGATGATAACAGTAACAATAAAGTTTTTCAGTATTATTAACTGATTTGTTGCCACCTTCACTCGTATTTTTATGTTCTGTGTCTCTTGTTGAGCCCACCAGCCTTATTTATGCAGTGTTAGAGATTTTTCAGTCTACTGAGGGGTCTGATAAAGGACCATGAATGATGCTTTGCCATATAATCATATAGTGGACTTGATGCTCCCCCATCCACAAACTCTGACAGTGGCATCCAGTTCTATCCAGGAGGAGCATTCATTTTGACATCAAAGTAACATAGAATTCCTATATGAAAATAGCTGTTTGACAGTGCTTGAGAATACACATAAATACATACAGGTTCATACAAAACTTGCTTCACAGAATCCTGCTTATTATTAGGAGACAAAAGTTGATAGTTTGGGGATCACTGGTTTAGGGAATATAAAATAGCTCCTCTGATGTCTGTGAATTCTCAACTACCTTTCAGATGCATCACTGATGCAAATATAGCATGATTACTATCGCTAAGGGACAAATGAATATGTATTTTCTGTTTAGGGAAGGGCTGGAGTGTTTAAGTAGCCACATTGAAAACTGAGACATTGAAAAGAGTATGGTAGAAAAGAGAAATTATCTTACAAGTATAAAGATACAACAAAACTTGGACTGTTGCCCTAAATACTTCATTAGGATCTCTTTATTCAAGTGAAAATGTCAGCTTTTGTATTAAACTATTAGAGCCAACAAAAGCATATGATTCTGCCCACAGTCTACAACCAAAGTCACAGAGTAGTGAGATTACTGTACTGAAAATATATAGAAAGAATTCCTTTATTCACTTTCATTTTAATCAAAGGCAAACACCTTGCTCTCTAGATACTGTTTTCACATTATTTATGACTCTCCAGTAGCAAGAAGTCATGCAATTCGATATATTGTTTTGTGTTTATTGATGTCAGTGCAGCCAAGCTGGAAGAATACATTCAGAATTTGGAGTCCTTGTCTCTCAAATCAACCAACCAGACTCTGACTATACCCTCAGCATTGCTAACAGACTCTATGGGAAAAAAGCAATGGCATTCCATCAGGTAAGCATGTCTAGCACCCCTAAATTTCACACTATAAAATCAGTTAAGATTGAAAAGTGTTGCATGACATTTGTCTCTAAGAGGTCGATCTTGAATTGACTTAGAGTTTCAGAGAATGGTTTTACTAGAAATTTAGAATTGTGAAATGTCATAAAAATTGCTTATTATTACAAAATTCCTAAAAGCCAAAGATGAAGTACAAAACAAAATTGGTAAGAATTATCCCTTGTGGACAGGAAGAAAAATTAAATATATCTTTTCCTATCTTCTTCAAAGGACTTAATGGCAGACTATCAAGAAACAGTTGAAAGAACACTGAATTAGGAGCTAAGAGCTCTGTATTTTATTTCCACTTAGACATACAACTCTGGGCAGTAATTTCTATCTTTAAAATGAGAAGATTAACCTAAATTTTTTCTAGCTCCAAATTTTTAGCAGTATTCATGTCCTTTCCCCAAAATATTACAAGATGTAGTTTTATCGAGTGTTCACTATGTACCTGTTACTTTATTTAACACATTACAGATAGTATCTTATACAGTCCTTACATTGTGCTATGATAGAGATACAAAATTGCCACTAATTCTGCAGACTGTGAAGCAAATTCTAAAAAGTCAAGATGATAAGGCATAGAGATAATTAAATGGCAACACCTAGATTTGGCCTCTACCTAAATCCATCTTCCTGTGTTTAATTGTTGGATCATCCTCATAACTGAGGTGAAATACTAGCATTAGTGATGTAACTTTTGACTAATATTGATTAAATATCAGCTAGGACAATTAGAATGAACCCTTGGATTTCCATTTTTCTCCCTCAGCCCTGTAGGGTGGGCTGAATCTTAGATGTGACATATTTCTAATAGAATTTGTATATGTTAGGGTGGGCAAACCACCCCGATACTGTAGACATTTCAGGAACATTTTCTTCTACTTCCCCAGAAGCATATAGGAAATGTTTCATGGAGATTGCCTTTAAAATGATAGGGATTAATGATCGTGGTCCTTTGAGTTTGAATGATTTTTCTTGCCGCTTTGCCTCCTCAAAACAGTGATGCAGACATAGTAGACATAAATGTTAATTTAAAATGATAATGATTGCATCAGTTCCTGGAGCAAGGAGCTCCTCATTACTATGATGAAGGTTGTAGTGAACTATATCATGAGACTGACTTTATTATACCAGGATTCTGCCTGGAAAAGCTACCATCTTATGGGCTATGGAGAATTTCTAAAGGATGTTCCAGCCACCACTGTACCCAGCTGAGGACAAAAATCATCCTGACTTAAGAGTATGGTCTCAAGGTCTATCCATTTACCTAGAAATGATACTCTTAAGTGAACTAGATCAGACACACATGTTTAAATATCCCATTGTTTCCCTGGTGTGAGAAACTGAAAGGGTAACTAAGGACTAAAATGTATAATAGATATTGAGAAATAGGAAGACAATGTTTAAATGGGAAGGGAACAAGGGAGGTGAGAGGGGGAAAGGAAGAAAGGGAAAAGATAATAAAAGGAAAAATGGTAACAAAGCTTTTTTAAATAAGGAGGGAAGAGAGATTGAAGGGATGGGATTTGGGGGAAAAGAATCAAGGTATATCAGGTGCAGGTACAAATTCTCTATGATGAATGTGATCTCTCTCTCTCTCTCTCTCTCTCTCTATATATATATAAAACCAATAAAATTAATTTTAAAAAGTCATTCTGATACCACTGAGCTATTAGTTAAGCTTTGCTTTTCTTCAACCTTGGATTTAGACACAAAAGAACCTAGTGAGGCAATTGAAAAGCCAGATCCCAGGCAGCCACTTGCACACCTACCATATTTCTAAGTTTTGAATCATGTGTCCTGAGTGCTCAAGAATGAAACCATGGGCAACTTCATTTGGGTCCATGAAGACTTTGGCTACTGCCTTGCAAATGAGGAAATAGAAGTTCCTGATTTTAGGAATCAAGAGATATGAATTATAATCAGTGATGGCTCAAGGAGCCTACATACACTGGGTTTGTGAGTGGAAATTTGGGAAATGGAGACAGCTAGGTTCTTGACACTGAGTTGGTACACTACTTTCAATTGGATAATATGCTATGGGTGAAAATAGTGAATATCTTAAAATATTTTTGTGGTTTCTGTATAAATTTTTAAAAAGTCAATTATCTACATCAGATATCATTGTTAATTTTACTTATGAGGAAGGTGATACACACGCTATTCTGGTTATCAGATTTGTTTGGATTTTTTATGTGCATTTATTTTGTCTATAATGTGTCTATAATGTGAGAGGAGTAACTTGTTTTTTTTGCTTTGAAGGGGAAAGAATAGGAACAGAGTGAAAAGGTACTCATTATATTGTCATTTTAGATCCAAGAAAGCCAGTTATGACAGAAGTGACAACCAAACATATTAACGTTATTGGGTGGAAAAGGTTTCAGATGTTGTCAAATTTATTTTTTATTAAAAACAAACAGATTTTTCTTCCTTTCAAACTTGTATACATGAACTCTTTTGTCTGTATATTAGAATTTCAGAATATATTGAGCTGTAAGATTTTTGTTTTCTTTACATTATTTTTATATTGTTAAATTGTCCTTTCTTTTGCAGCAGTTTTTAAGCTGTTCTGAGAAACTTTACCAGGCCAGACTACAAACTGTTGACTTTGCACAATCTACAGAAGAAACAAGGAAAATTATTAATGCTTGGGTTGAAAAGAAAACTAATGGTAAGGATAAGGCAAATAAGTGTCTACAAGGTGTGTTGTTATGATAAGCTTTCTGAGTTGATATGCTAATAAGGAAGCTGAGTAAAGTCCAAAACCTGAGATAGACCAACAATGAAGGAATTGGGGCTGTATTTTGAAATATTACTTACAATCTTTTGTCCTAAGTAATCTATGATCTGTGACTCTGAGAGTGAGAATGAACACTATTTCTACTTTGTAGAAATATTGTAAATTGTACCATTAAATTTAATTAAAACTAAATGTACCTTTCACAATTTAAAAGCTCCTATACATTGTTAAATATTTCTTCTTTAAAATGGCACTTTAAATATTCCATACAAAGGTATGTTCATTTCTTTAAAGATATTTAGGTAAGGAAATACTTAAAGATATATGCACAAGTAGAGAGAATATACCGTGAGTTTTGTTTACCCATGACTCAACTGCAGAGATCACTGATAGCCTGCCTTACTGGCCTATACTCTCACCCTATTCCCAACACCTCTTTCAGATTATTTTTTTAAAGTTATACCTATGTTATTTCTTTTTGTTATTCATTAAGTTTATTGGTACATTTTAGGTATACAATGTGATGACACTCATTATTGAGAATTTGTATCTTTACATGATATATCTTGGTTCTTATTTTTTCCCCATTCCCTTTCAACCCCTCCACTCCTCCCTATTTACAAAGACTTTCTTTCTGTTTTTTCCTTTCTTCATAAGCAAATCCCAGATATCATCACTTTCCTTATATATGTTTCATTTTGTTTCTCTCATAAATGTAGACTTTTTAAGTATGAACACTATTATATTTACATAATTGAAAATAATCATTTAATGTTAGAAAGATTCAATGAACTTTCATGTTTTCCCAGTTGCCTGTTTTGGTTTGAATCAGGATGTAGACAACATTTATGCATCACAGCCTGTCAGTGTGTCCCTTGAATAGTGACATTTTTTTTCAAAATTAATGTGGAAATACACATGTTTTTAGAAAAGTAAATTCTTGTTTTAAAATATTCTATAAATTATCACAAAGTGAATATATTCATTATCACCACTGAGATCAGAAAAATAAAACCTTCATTCCTAAGTAGAGGCACTGAGAGGCCACACTGACATCCCCTCCTGGAAACTAACACCCCTTCTCCCAAGTGCTAAGACTTCTTTCATTTAAATTCTCAAATATATGTTCCTCTTGTCTTAAAATTTCATCTTACTGGAGTCATAAAGCATGTGTTAAATTATTTTTAGGTCAATATTATGTTTATGAGATTCGTGTGGTTACATGTTGCCTGACTTGTTCATTTTCATCAATATATGCTTTGTTTTCTGAATATCCCCAGTCTATTTACTTTAACAAACATTTGGAATATTTTTAGGTTGGGTCAATTATATATACTGTGATACACTGATGAACATTTTGATACACATCTTTTGGTATAAATATGTATGCAGTTCTATTGGATATATGCCTAAAAATGAAGTTGCTGTTTGTAAGGTATATACATTCAATTATAGTTGATGCCAAGCATTTTTATTAAGTGGCTGCATCAATTTATATGCCCAAGCAATAAGGAGATTTTCATTTGATATTCATCCTTGCCAACATGTGTTATTGTCAGTCTTGTTAAATTTAGCCATTGTAGTCATTTCCATTTATATTTCCCTTAGAAATTTTATGGTTGAACACTTTTCCATATGCCTCACATCCTCTTTTATGAAGTGGCTGTTAATCTCTTACCCATCTGTAAGGATGCTGTACCTGTTTTTTTCCCTTATAACATATAAGAGATCTTTGCACATATAGAATACATATGCTTCAAGTAACTTCTACCATTGTCATTTCCCTCTCTTAATGCTGCCTTTGATGAATACAAGTTCCTAATTTCCAAGCAATAAATTTATCAATATTTTCCTTTATAGTCAGTGTCCTTATGTATTTTCAAAGAAATATTTGCCTACTTCTACTTGATAAAATATTTTCAAATTTTACCTCCTATAAGCTTCATTATTTAATTATAATTAAGATTTATTTTGAATTCATTTCATTCCACATGATCATCTAATTGACATAGCATACTATTTAATAGAGGATACTTTCACCACTATACTGCAATGTAAACTTTATTATAAATTAGATGACTATTTGTGACTTTGTACTTGAGCTTTCTATTCTGTTCCATTTGTCTATTTGTTTATTTTCATGACAATGCTACAATTATAGTAGCTTTTTAAGAAGCTCTGATAGCTGAAGTGGAAGTCATCCAACACTGACCATTTTCTGGAGCTGCTTTGGCTATTCTCTATCTTTGCATTTCAAGGTATATTTTAAAATTAGTTTGTGGTCTTTGATCTTCCATATCAATTAAAGTTTTAATTGGAATTTCATTGAGTCTATGGATTTCAAGAGAAAATATCTTCAACTTCTCATTCATGACTATAGCATTTATCTCTATTTATTTAGTCTTTTAAATTTTCTTTCAATACCATTTATTGATTGATCAATTGACTGACTCATTTCTTCTTGGTGATATTGAACCCAGGGCCACTGTGCTGAGCTATATCCCTAGCAATTTTCATTTTGAGACAGTCTTGCTAAATCTCTCAGTTTCCCAGATTAACTTCAAACTTACGATCTTCCTGCAACATCCTCCCAGAGTTCTGGGATTATAGGTATGCACCACTGTGTTCAGCTCTTCTAACAATATTTTACATATCTCTATGCTAAAGTTTTGCATATTTTGATAACTTCTTTCTAGGAATGTGAGGTGTTTCTTGAGTTCTATCTAGTATCTATTATCATCTCATCTGAAAAATTCCTTTTTATACCATCATCAATATTTTTGCACAGCTACCTCATCCCACAATACACACAATCTCAAGATGAAAAAATCAGCAAAAAAGTCAACAGGGATATCTTAAGATTTTTTTTTTGCAGTTCTTTTTGTCCTAAAGGTAGATTCACAAGATGTGTATAAACTGTTATGTACCTCCTTGTGCCACTAGTTTCTGTGTTTTGGAAGTTAGGCAATGATTCTCTAATGTAGGACATAATTTAATGTATTAAATAATAAATGAAAATTAGGATTAAATTACATCAAATTACTAAATCAAAGTGAATTGGATTTGTAGAGACCTTGTCAATTATATAAAATATGTCTCTGAGCATAAAAACCATGTATATGTATCCCATTATATCACTTAACAGCAGTGAGCTTTTAGTTTATTATTTAAATTAATTTTATGGGTACATTTTAGGTATACAACATAATGACATTAATCATTGGAAATTTGTACCTTTACATAATGTATCTTGGTTCTTTTTTTCCCTATTCCCCTGTCCTCCTTCAACCCCTCCACCCCTCCCTATTTACAAAGACTTTGTTTCCATTGTTTTACTTTTCTCATATTAACTCAACTCCCTTCTTTCCTTTCCCCAATCCCTCCAACTTCCTCTTCCCCTTTAGACATTTTCTTCCTATTTTACATTATCAGTTATACACTTTGATTCTTATTTACACTTTCAGCTTCTCACAACAGAGAAACTATTCGGTATTTACACATGTGTTTCCTATTTATTTCACTTGAGAGTATCACCTCAATGTGCATCCATTTAGCTATAAATGTCTTTGATTTCTCAATCTTCATGGCTGAGTAGTGCTCATTTTATAAAAAAAACCCCATATTTTCTTTATCCAGTCTCCAGTTGATGGGCAATTGGGTTGTTTCCAAGTTTTAGCTATTACAAACTATGGCACTATGAATATGGGTGCACATGTATCACTGTGGTATGATTCTTTTAATTCTTTGTGGATGATACCCAGCAGGGGAATAGCTGGGTCAAATGCGACTTCTAGTCCTAGTTCTTTGAGGTATCTCCATACTGATTTTCACAGTGGTTGCACCAGTCTACACTCCCACCAGCAGTGGAGCAGGGTTGGTCTTTTCCCACAGCCCTGCCAGCATTTGATTGGTTGATTTCATGATAACAGCTATTCTTTCTGGGGTGAGGTGGAATCTCAATGTTGTTTTCATCTGAATTTCTCAAATGATCAGTGATGTTGAACATTTTTTCTTATGTTTATTTGCTATTTCTACTTGTTTGTGTGAGAAATGTCTGTTCATTTCAGATGCCCCTTTTTGGATTGGGTCTTTAAATTTGGGAGGTCTGATTTTTTTAAGTTCTTTATATATTCGTGATAATAGACCTCTGTCTGAGGAACTATTGGTGAAAATTTTTTCCTACATTGTGGGTTGTCTCTTCACACTGTTGGTGGTTTCTCTTGCTGTGCATAAACTTTTTAATAAGACGAGATCCCACTTGTTGATTGTTTGTGCTAGTTCACATGCAACTGAAGTTTTGTTCATAAAATCTTTTCCTACACCAATGTTTTTGAAAGTTTTACCTAACCTCTCTTCTAGCCAGTTTAGTGTTTCTATTTTAATATTTAGATTTTTAATCCATTTCTACTTTAGTTTAGTGCATGGCGAGAGCTACAGGTCTAGTTTTAATCTTTGGCAGGTTGAAGCACAATTTTTCCAACACAGTTTATTAAAAAGGCTATCTTTCCTCCAGTGAGGGTGTTTGGCTCCTTTATAGAAAATGCGGTGGCTGAGTGTGTCTGGAGTTGTTTCTGCATCTTCTAATATGTTCCACTGATCCTTGGGTTTGTCTCTTTTCCAGTACTAAGCTGTTTTTATCACAGTATCTTTGTAGTAGACTTTTGAGTTGGGGATTATGATACCCCCTACCTTGTCTTTGTTGTCTAGATTTGCTTTTGCTATTCTAGGTCTCTTCTTGTTCAAGATGAAATTTTGGATTGTTTTCTCAAGTTCTGTGAAGTATTCTGCTGGAATTTCAATTTGGATTGCTTTGAATCTCTATAGCAGTTTTGGAAGTATGGCCATTTTCACTATATTTGTTCTTCCTACCCAGAAACAAGGGATAGTTTTCCATTTTCTGATATCCTCTTTGATCTCTTTTTTCAGAGTGC